TATTGCGAGGTAACGCAAAAGTATTGCGAGGTAACGCAAAAGTATTGCGTGGGAATGCAAAAGAAAAATATCCCCCCATGTCACCTCGCGGGCTTCGCAGTTTTTGTTCTTTTCTAGTAAAAATAATAATTTTTAACTTAACTGATGCAGAATTGAGGGTGGAGTCTGATTCTACCAATCAGAGTAGACCTTTTGTTGTTTGTTTACACAAAGCCTGGATGAGCTTATTTATTGAGCTTTAATTTGTACAAAAAAACACTTTTACACTTTTCTACAGAACTATTGACCCATTTGTGTGTTTTTATAAAGTTGACTTGAGATAGACAGAACAGTCCATTTAATATTTGGTTGAACTGACTGCTCCGCTGCCTTGTTGTGGTTGCATGTCGATGTTTGCATGTTCAGAAGTGTGCTTTTTTTTTTTTGCTCGTGTTGTGCGTTTGCCGTGCACGTTGTTCCTCCCATCAGGAGCAGTGGAGCCTGTTCCTCATTAGACGCAACATGTTGCTGCGCATCAGTGTCCAGCCAGTTAAACCGAGCCAACACAAACGTTCTCAGATTGTTTGAATTACCCAGAGTTGTTGTTATCGTTGTGCTAATTGTTCCCTCCTCTGCGTGTGTATGTGTGTGCCTCACGGCGTGCTGCGGTGCGCGCGCGCCATCAGTTGCAGGAYGAGGAGCGACGGCGTAAGCAGCAGCTGGAGGAGATTAGGAGGCGGGAGGCCGAGGAGCGAGCGAAGCAGGAGGAGGAGAGGAGGTGGAGGGAGGAGGAGAGAGCCAGACGGGAGGCAGAGGAGAAGGTCGGTTTTTCATTTTCTACACTTTAAATCCTTCATTAGTTAAAGACGTGCAGAAATATCCTGGGGTTAGATCATATTTAACCCTTTAAAAAGTTTATTTTTTAAATTTTGTTTTTATTATCAGGATTGTTAAAATCATCAGGATTTAAAGTCCTGGTTAAATGTTGGTTCTTGTTTTTAAGTTTTGAATGTAACTTTTAATTTTAATGTTTATTGTGAAAATGTGCCGACGCATGTTGTCATCCTGACCCCCCCACCCCCTTCTGTGATGTGTTGCTGTGTCATGTCAACTGCTCCCACCCACCTGGAAAAAAAAGCACGTGTTTCCCATCATGTTCTCGTTAAGTTTCAGTTGTTTTAAAGAAGCAGTTATGATTTTATCAGGGCTTTAATTTTCAGTTTTTATGTTTCCATTTCATCCAACATCCAGTATTTATGTTTAGGGAATGCTGCCCACCCAAGTACCACATGCTTTACGTTCACTTCAAACACACACACTCCTCCTATCATCCATATCACATACATCTCATTTAAAGCCCCGCCCCCCCACACACACCCGCTAACCCCTCCAGTTTCTTCAGATCACCACGGAGCTGAGCCGTCACTTCCAGCGGCTCGGATTCATCTGCAGCAGAACAGACCTTCACCACATTAAATAAATAAAGTTAAATAAAAATATGAAGATAATCCCAGATCCGAAACATCACAGCTGAGCAAGTGTGACCCTGCAGCGGCTGGTCTGGTTCCAAACCCAGAAATGTTCTGAGTTCTCCCTGAAGGACCACAGATCAGATCTAAGACCACACGAATAGATTCACCACACATGCAAACACAGCGATGGAGAGCAGAAAACTGTTAGGTCTGGTGTTCCTGCAGCRAGTGGAAACATTTATTTTGTTTGATCAAGTTGGTGCAATGTGAAGATAGTAAAATAATTTTTGAGTCTATAAAGTTTTTAGACTTTTCCTTTGATGAAAAGCTGAAAGTTCAGGTGTGAGGATCAGGGTCATCAAAAGGCGTTGGCTAGTGTTGTAGTCAAGACCAGATTAAGTCAAGACCACATTGTGTCGAGATGAAATCAAGACCACGTTGTGTCGAGATGAAATCAAGACCGCGTTGTGTCGAGATGAAATCAAGACCGTGTTGTGTCGAGATGAAATCAAGACCGCGTTGTGTCGAGATGAAATCAAGACCGCGTTGTGTCGAGATGAAATCAAGACCGCGTTGTCGAGATGAAATCAAGACCGCGTTGTCGAGATGAAATCAAGACAGCGTTGTGTCGAGATGAAATCAAGACAGCGTTGTGTCGAGATGAAATCAAAGCCGTGTAGTGTCGAGATTAAATCAAGACCACATTGTGTTGAGATGCAATCAAGACCACGGTGTGTCGAGATGAAATGAAGGCCGCRTTGTTGAGATGAAATGAAGGCCTCGTTGTTGAAATGAATTCAAGAGCACAGTGTCTAGATCAAATTTTGTCGAGATCAAATCGAGACCACATTTTGTCGATCAAATCAAGACCACATTGTGTCGTGATGAAATCAAGACCGCGTTGTGTCGAGATGAAATCAAGACCGTGTAGTGTCGAGATGAAATCAAGACCACGTTGTGTCGAGATGAAATCAAGACCNGATGAAATCAAGACCACGTTGTGTCGAGATGAAATCAAGACCGCGGTGTGTCTAGATGAAATCAAGACCGCGGTGTGTCGAGATGAAATCAAGACTGCGTTGTGTCGAGATGAAATCAAGACCGTGTAGTGTCGAGATGCAATCAAGACCACGTTGTGTTGAGATGCAATCAAGACCACGGTGTGTCGAGATGAAATCAAGACCGCGTTGTAGAGATAAAATCAAGACCACGTTGTTGAGATGAAATCAAGAGCACATTGTGTCAAGATCAAATCGAGACCACTTTGTGTCGAGATCAAATGAAGACCGCATTGTATCGAGATGAAATCAAAACCACGGTGTGTCAAGACGAAATCCAGACCGTGTTGTATCGAGATGAAATCAAGACCGCGTTGTCGAGATCAAATCAAGACCGCATTGTATCGAGATGAAATCAAAACCACAGTGTGTCGAGACGAAATCAAGACCGCATTATATCTAGATGAAATCAAGACCGCTTTGTGTCGAGATCAAATCAAGACCAGTGTTTCCCATAC